ATCATCTTTTCCCTGAGCTCAGACTTTTGATGTTTGTTAGAACCGGGTGGATTCGGACGACTCCGGAATGGAATCGGAGACTTAGCGTGGAAGGACCTTGGCCTCAGCGACTCAGGTGGAGCACTGTGCCATTGCTGGTTGTCCTAGGGGTCCCTAATTTCGGATCTAGCAGAGGGAAAGTCTCTTGGGGGAATTCATGTCGATTTCGGACTGAGGTTACAAGTTACTATGTACATTGTATATAAGGAGGGGTCCGGAATCAAAAGGAGCGAGGGTAGGATGAAAGGAGACAAAGGGAGATGGAAAGAGGAACAACACCGAGGGTCAAGGGTTTGACTCAATGGTGTTTCTCAAAGGAGGAATGAAGGGCCAAGGCCCAAGGAGGAAGGAAGGAGGTTGGGAGTGGGGAATGGCTAGCTGACTGAATAGAAAGGAAGCAGCAGCCCAAATAGGAATGAGGGAGAATAGCGGAATTGAATAGGACAATGCAATAGTTGCAAGGTCCGACATAAGTCCGGAAAGTCCGAACTCGGAAGTTAAACTCCGGAATATTGGCAAACATAATTAAATGGAATGAGCCAACCGATACAATGGGCATAAGCGGAGGTGGGGTCAAAGTCCGAGGTCGGAGCTAAGACCAGAGGTTCCGGAGACAGAGACGCGAACGGGATTCCGGAGCGGAGGTCCGGAGTCGGGAGCATAGGTTTTGCGTACTCGTCTGGAAGGTGTCGAGGTTGGGGTCGGACCCGGAATGTCCCGGAGTCGGACCGAAGGTGGTGTCAGAGCCGGAGGTGGGATAACCTCTTGGGAGTCGGCAAGGAGGAGGTGACGGAAGGGAAGTAGGACTCCGGAAGTCAGGTTCGGAGTTCCGGGAGCCCGGAGCGGAGGTCAGGATTGTATGGATATGACAATGTTGCTATTCCCATTATTGGATATCTCATTAATGCATGATCCTTTTATTATGAAACTTTGGGAGGATTAAGATTAGATCCCTTCCTTTCTAATGGGCTATCAAGCTTGTCTCGGTCGTTTCTAGTTAATCTTTGTGCTTGCCTTTTAGACATTGTCCTCATTTTGCAGGAGTTTTAGTCATATCTCTGTCATTTATGGGTAGTTTCCCCTGTAATTACTCTCATTGGTTCCGTTTGGGGGACATCTACATTTCCTATTATAAACACGGCTTTGACTTTTGCATTAGTTCCTGAGGAATCTTTGTTCCGTGGTACTTCCATCCTTGGCTATGTGTGCGGACGTGGGAAAGTAGTTTCCGTGGAGGTTCTCTGATTATTTTTATAGTCAAATCTTGGTCGATTGTCCTAATTCTTGGTTTAATATTTGCTATAAATTCCCCCGAGAATTCTGTCTTGTTGATGGTAAGCTTGAAGTATTTTTGCTATTTTTCTTTCTTTCGATTCATCGTGTATAGTCATAATAATTCGTAAAAATTCGTAAAATTCGTTAAAATTCAGGTCCTTCTATTTTCTCATATCTACTTGTCATATGAGGTTTTTGTGATTTATCTGGCATATTTCCATAATGGGTTTCCATAGTGTGGCCGTTATTTCTCCTACAGCATGCAGCGATCAGGGAGTGGGGTTAGGTACGTAGTGGTACATGGAGAAAAGGGAAATCGACCGTAGAATAGAAATAGAGAGAGAAGGGGAAAGTGAGGAAGGAGGGATGGGGGTGATAGCAGGGAAAGTGGAGTAGGGCAGTACGGCGCAGGGTCAGGCGGGTGTGCCCTGACACATGCCAGTTATACAACGAGTACTAATATCGCTTGCAATTGCGACACATGGTCGTTGGCAAGGGTTAATGCATAGAACAGAAAGAGTAGGCAGAAAAGGGTATCAGCGGTGATCCCATCAACACCATGTCAGACAAACTAATAAGGTAAATAGATCGTCATTAACCACAATGATTTCCAACAGTTCAGGAGTGGCTGGGAGTGGTGAGGAGTATGCAATGTGCCAGGAGCAGTGGGAGGAAAATTTTGGTCTCTAAAAAGTTGAAAAAAAAAATTTAGGGAAAAAAATCAAAAAAAATTCAGGAACTACATATAGTGCCTTTAAAGCGCTTTCAGGACATATAATTATTTGCAAAATTGAGGAAGAAATGATGGAGAAAAATGGAAAATACTTTCAGAGACCTGAGAAGTAATGAGAACTGAATTGATGGGAAAGTCTGAAAATTGAATAGGAAAGTGAGGGGAAGCCTTGTAGCATTGTTATTTTCTGCTGTTGTAATTTTTCCTGATTGTTCTTGGTCTCACTCCCAGCTGCTCCTGGACCCTCCCAGGAGCTTTCAGGACTTCCAGGAGTATTGAGGAGCAGCTGGGAATGAGACCAAGAAGAATCAGGAAAAATCACAACAGCAGAAGATAACAATGCTACAAGGCTTCCCCTCACTTTCCTATTCAATTTTCAGACTTTCCCATCAATTCAGTTCTCATTATTTCTCAGGTCTCCGAAAGTATTTTCCATTTTTCTCCATAATTTCTTCCTCAATTTCGCAAATAATTATATATCCTGAAAGCACTTCAAAGGCACTACAGTTCCTGAATTTTTTTTGATTTTTTCCCTAATTATTTTTTCAACTTTTTAGAAGTCCCTATTTTTCAAATTTTCCTCATTTCCCTCTATATTCCCCCCTCATTCTCCCCCTCATTTCCCCCCTCATTTCCCCCCTCATTTCCCCCTCATTCTCCCCCATTTCCCCCTCCTCCATATTCTGCAAGTCCGAAAGTGATTAAGTTGCCAGATTAATCATATATCAGGCCATAAATTTTGACTGTGTATTGGTGAGTCTCAGTGTCCTTGATGTATTGTATAGTGTTTGATCTAAATGTTAAGTAGTGTCTTGTTGTGTTAGTCTTGTGGTAGGAGGTATTCATGGGGAGTCTTCCCTCTTTTTTTTCCTTTTCATTTTCAAATGCTCCAGGAGCTCCCAGAAGCTTCTCACCCCTATACATTTTGAAGCATTAAATTGTATTTACTGGATATGTTTGTGCACAACGCAATGCTCCATGCCCTCCTGGGAGTGCCCTGGAGTACCTGACCAACTCCGGAGGAAATGAGCTGTTCCTGGACCAGCCAATCTCCTCCTGATTCTCCCAGTGCTCCCCATACTCCGGAGCACTCAGGAGCATAACAATTTTTTGCTGATGTCCTGCCTGACCTTCGACTCCCTTTGACAACATTTCTTGATTTTCACCTTCCACAATTGCCACCCAAGAATGTCCTGATTCATATTGCATACAACCCCTACTGTCACTTCACTTAGTCTTGATGCCATCAATTCTCTACCATGGCCTCCACCAGGCAGTTTCTCACTCTGAGCCCTCCATGAACTGGATAATGACTTTCCTGAGGATGCCAATAATATGGGTTCTAATTCATCGCTTGGTGATGGTTCAAGTGATGATGACTACAAGGGCAGCTTGGTTTCTTGTAGTAGGGATCCAATCCCTTCGGAGCCGGTGCGCCAAGGGGAGAGGATGAGGAAACCCACATCAGGAAACCCCTGAGGCCGATTGAGGTGGTTGAGATCATTTCAACCTCACATGATTTACAATCACTTCAACTGGGTCCCCTGATTGTAATCACACCAATTATGGGGGTGATTGAGCTGATTCAGTGATTGTATGGTTGGTTGTATCGGTGCACTATCACATTCTCTCCCGCATTGAAGTTTATCAATAAAGTTATTATATTTGAACATTATGTTGTGTACATACTTGGGAGATACAAGTTATTACAGTAGTACCCAAACACAATGTAATGCAAAATGAAACACAAAATAAAGAGAAGAGGAAAGTACAATGTAATCAAAGAAAGTAGACGCATGCCTCAACCGCTGAACTGTTTGGAACCAAACCTGGCATAAAGGTAGAGCTAGTTATCTTCTATCAAACAAGCCTAAGATCGACGGAAACGGATGAGTGGTTGTTGAGTACATGTGGTAAGAAGTTGGGGATAGTGTCGCATGTGAGAAGTTTGGTTGGAGGTTGGAAATGGCATGGAAAAAAACATACAAAAATCATGGGAATGGAGGGGGATGTATTAGAGGGTATTGGGGAAGGGTCAGGCAATCACGGAATGGTGGTGGCTCATGTAAACAAGCACAAGAGGGTGGTTAGGTAGTCAGTTTAGCAACAAACACAGTGAACTGCCATACTTACGACTCGACATACAACACAGGGTAGTTTTGGGTGGCAAACCCACCCTCATTCTTTCTTTTTCAAGTAAGGAACATCTGGGGTGGAGTAGAAAACATCGCGTTGTGAAAGCAATTGGAAAAAAAAAAGAGACACACATCATCATGTTTGTTCATGCAGTTCCCACAGCTCAGTTTGTTTGGGTATTGTGAGTTGTTAATTTGGTGTTGCATATGAAGAGAGAGTGTAGTGGAGTGCATGAGTTGGAGCAAAGAAAAAACTTCTAAGTCGCAAACCCATTCATTTGAAACTGTACAGCACCTGGATGCAAATGACGGACTCACACACATGGATGTATCTATGTGTGGTTGTGGTGATTGAGATGATTGAGAGTAGTCGATTGGGCAGATTGGGCAGATTGAGTGATTGAATTGCTCTCAACCACTTCAATCAGCCTCGGGGGTTTCCTGATGTCTGTTTGCACAATCTCATTTCCATTCAATATCGCAGCACCACTCCGCACAAACTGTAAGTAGGGGCAGTGGCTGCTGAAGTTACAGCCTTTTCTAAAATTTCTGTCCGATCAAAGTGAATGGGTATTGACCCCATTCGTAAAAAAAATCACCCAAAAATGATCAAATTTCTCGTATTTTTATTTTTCAATACAGTAGAGTTAGCGCTGCACAGCCATACCTATTCCCGACCACAATGATTGATCCTACCCTTCACACTGGCCATGATCAGACCGTGTCCTAAGCTACTGTGCATGAAAAGTTCTGGAAATCATCAAGTTTTCCTCACCTGCTTTGATTCTCTCCAAAACAGCGACTGTGTGTCAACTATCATGTTCTCAACAAAGACAAGCGTGCCCACTGGAATGATGACCATTAGCCCTGCACCCGCTCCTGAAAACACCCCAGCAAGCATTCCAACAGTGCTTGCTGATGTATGTGAAGCCTCGTTGCTTCAGGCTGAGCCGGTGGGAGACAGAAACACCATACTCACATCCAGATCCTAGTTGTCAAGTTCGCGACTACACCCACGGTTGCCAACTTTATCAAAGAGGTCCCTTGTTGGTGAGCTGAGAGAATGCGGCAACTCTGCAGTCACCGAGATGGGCAATTTGTGCAGCCTCCTTGGTAGTGAGGGTTGAGGACATGAGGACGATGTGTCACTTCATGTCTGGAGACGCGTGTTTGGTACCCATGAGATGGTAATGGTGTATGGAAGCTCAGCTGGGCTGATGTGAGGAGGATTGAGAGCAGGATCACTGTTTCCAATAGAGGCTGGCGACCTGCCTAGATCGCTGTGACCATCAGTGCCATGGTCATCATTCAATGAGGAATGGGGACTAGCTGTGGGCGCTAATTCTACTATATGGAAATATAATTCTATTGTATTGAAACATAAAAATATGAGAAATTTGACCATTTTCAGGTGATTTTTTTTACAAATGGGGTCAATACCCATTCACTTTTGATCGGACAAAAATTTTAGAAAAGGCTGTAATTCGCACGCTTGTATATACAAGTGGATATACAACTGTATAGGCCGGGTTTGGCCTATTAGGGGGCAACGAAAGTTATACAAATAATCCACCTAACGAGGCTTCGCCCACTGGGTGTCCAAGGTGGCAAATGACAGTTAGAACGTTCAATGATGATCAGAATGCCCCACTGGAGAATGTTATAGAACGTTCAACAACCTTTTGCCTAATTAGGCACATACACACAGAGCTTCTGCGTTCAATCGCTATTTAGAACATTCTAATCATTACGAGCATTCCGTTGGAGAACGTTTATAGAACATTCAACAAGCTTTTGGCCTGTTAGGTATATATATATAGCGCTTTTGGGTACCTAATCAGGTCTCCAAAATATGGGTGACATGGCTGTTCTTGTTCCCAAATACTTCGAGCGACATCCACGTCCTCCCCTCTTCCACCGCATCCCTATCGCACCATTTCTGCATCGCATTCACCGAAGGAACTTACCTGAATGGTCAGAAGAGGAGAGGAAGAAAATCCTCCAAATCCATTCGCTGATCCAGGTGCCATGGATGGCATGGTGGAAGGGCTGAAGAAGCAAATGGTCATGATGATGCCGCAGATGCTCATTATGGGATGGATCAATTTCTTCTTTCAGGGTTTCGTTTTGAGTAGGTATCTATCACGCTTTCCCCTCCGCGCGGAGCACTCCCTCCCATAGAGCGGAAGAGTTCTCCGTGTTACTGACGTTGTGCCTTAGTTAAACTCCTGTTCCCGCTAACGCTTGGCTTCAAATCAATGATGCAGCGTGGCATCAAGACTCTTGATATGGACGTTCGTTGAGTTTCTTCTCTTTCTCAACTTAATGGACTCATTCCGCTGCTTCTCGGGTCAGAAAATGGTCAGTATATTGATCCGTTCCGATATTTTCTTGTCCCGGCTATTGGCTGAAGGCCAATTGTTTCCTGCCCATTTATGCCCTGCCCTTCGTACAGCCGCAGACTCAACGCCAGATATGGCTGCTCATTCGGCTCCGTGCTGTCCGGAGCTAACGTGCCACCAGCCATTGGACCAGGGGCTCCAGGTCACAAGAAACTTTTTGCTCACGAAAAGGATAATCTGCAGTTTGCAGAGGAGCAATATAAGTGGGTTTGCGATGGCGTAGAAACCGGAGTGTTGGAGCAATGGGGCAAGATACGTGCTATAAAGTGACCCTAGCATAGGTGCATTGTTCGGCTACGGCCCCCCGCGTCTTATGTAGGTGTTTCCTGTCCCGTTGGGCGTTGTGATCTAGGGATTATTATTATTATTTTAAGGACAACAGATCAGGCATATTGAAGGCAAGTTGCCCTGCCAGTAGCTGGTTCCAGTATGGATGAATTCGGCCACCTCGCCCATTTTGTGTCGTGATTTAAGGGTTATCGTTACGATGGAGGTCCAAGGATGTGGTATTAAATCTCCGCCCAGAGTGATTATGTTCCAGGTGTCGCAGCCAACCGATAAGCGGCACAGCAGCGGCCAGCAAGCGCCGGGTGGTCTTAGCTTGGCAATATTCGTGACCCCACACAGGTGCGAACTCTCACGCTCATTTTACTCGGCAGCGGGAATGCCGGAAAGAAGCCTCCACCCAATGGCGGAGCATGGGCTGTTGGATCAAAACAAGTTGGGGCGCGTGGTTGATTGCATCGGTCTACCCACAGATGTCTATACAACAAGTCTTGAACTTCTAATCTCAGTTCAAGGTCTCGATCAACATTGCGATACTTACCCGAATGCCGCAGGCTTCGACTGTTGCCTGTCTACGACGCCCCCCCCTACTTTAACCCCAGAGTCTTCTTGCTTCTTTCCATCTCGACACTTCGCTGCTGCGGACCTTCAGCATAGCAAAACCAGCAACCCGCTATGAGTCCCGAGGCTATCAGGAACAAGATCAACCTTGAGAATGGGAATGTATGTTTTCCGCTTGGTTTCGATCAACAATGCTAACGACAATTTGTAGCTCGTTATTGGTGCGTATCACATGAAGCCCTCACACTTGCGATGTGACGAGATGAGACGGGACTCTGACCCCTCTTTTACGTTCTTTTTAGTCGCTAGTCTTACTGTCTTGATCTGGGACTGGTTGATCTGTCTGGACCGTGAAGTAAGATGATCAAGAGGCTCGAAGGGAGTGAAGGTGTGATTGACGCTTTTCAACAGCGGCGACATTTCTGGGGATCGAAGCCGAACGCGGGGACTGTCCTATACTTTCTTGTAAGTAAGCTAGTAAGCTATGTCGGCGTGTTAACTGGTTGTGCCCTCCTTCTAGAATAGGTGACCCTTATTGATACAGGCATAGGCTTGAGCAAATCTGACTTTGGGGAGCGTTAATTAGAGGGGTTTCCATGCTGGGCGCCATCCTACATCTCCAGAGTGGGTGTTAAATTCTACTTGGTACTATCATTCTATTGGGTTTGTTTCTGATCATTTCTGTATCGAACCAGCATCGATGTACAATTTTGCTCCTCATACGCAACTTAAAGTACGCTTAAGCATCCTTAAAGCCCTGCCCCGTTATGCTCGAACTCGTTTGTTCCCCTCCTTAATTAGCTATGTGGGCCCCTGATCCGCACCGTTACCTCTCTTTCTGCTCTCAATATTGCAGTCGTACAGGGTATGCACAGTCACGCCTTGAGTCCACTACTTAAGAGGGGAAGTTGACTACCGTTCGCTATAGTTATTTTAACGATGCGTACATATGCATTGTACAGTTGCAACAAGGTACTCTTATGGGCGCTTCTCGTTCTCGTCATGGTGCGTGTAATGCATCAGACTTCAAAACATACCTCCGAGACAGAATCTGACGTTATGAATCATCGGTTAGGGTGGATTGCTGAATCAAGTGCTGTTCATGTGGCTCGGCCCGTGGACAGGTATGGGCCGTATGTTTGCGACGTTGACCTTACCCTCTCATGCTTCACATTAGTTATCATAAACTCTCAGCCAGCTCCTTATACTGGGTGTCTCATTCGCCTGCCCACATGGTCATGGGAGCGACTCGTTCCGATTATGACCTTTGAAATCTGTATGTCTGACTCCATCATACTGGCTTGGAGCTGTTAGTGACACTCGCTGTGGTTGTAATTTTTAGTGTCTATAGTCTTGTTTGCGATCAAGTTCTGTTCTTACGTCAAGATGGGTTCAATGGGTGTAGTACCAAGGATGTTGTTCCGCGATGGTAAGATCGTCTCTTTGTCTTTCATGTCCATTTGACGCTAACTACATCTGCATGTATTGACGTGCTCAATAAATAGGTTTTCTTGGGTTTCTTGGTGAGTGGCAAGCGCGAGGTTCAGATCGATGACTCATTTATTCGAATGGTTACGCTGCATTAGCCACTTCCAGTACGAATCTATATTCTCATGGGGAATACAAGCTTACATGCTGCTATTTAGTATGTACATCTATTGGGCTACTTGTCCAGATTTTACGGCCAGTATGTTCGCTGCAATTTGACGTCAATCTGAGTCAAAACTTACTATGCCCGTTCTCATCTTAGCGACCATTGCTTACTTTCGGCGTTGCGTAAGTCGGTCGGAATAGAGAGCACAGTTGTTGACAGGCATTCTCACTCTCGCCTAGTCTCACCCCATTGGTTCCCACCCTCGTTGCAGCCCACATGCTCCTCAATATTAGGGATGTTATGAAAGTTTCTTCTCCGGTAGCCAAGCCGACTGCCCCAACAGCCGCGCGACGTACACAACCTCGAAGTTCCCAGCCACCCGTAAGGGGGAGCTTCCCAGGTCAGCAAGTTGATGACGCTGGCCTCCAGAACCTGGTGCCTGATTTAGAGCGGAAGGGTGCAGACAGTGGAGGGAAGGACCACTATGATGACGAGGACGACGAGGACGATGACGATGACGTGGACGGGGACGGGGACGGGGACGACGGTGACAATCGTCGCGACCGGAGGGGATATCACGGATTTGGGAATGCGGACTCGCTCAGGGAGAACTGGTACGAGATGAAGGCTCGGCCATCCGAAACCCGGTACGATCCTAGAGGGACAGCGTCCCTCTCCCTCTCTGGACGAAATCCTGCTCCAAGTGAAGGAACACACCCAGCATCGCCCGTTCCCGTAGCACTACCAGCGTCCACTAGTGTTATCCCCGGCAACGAAGAAGCTGCGGCGGGTAGTAGTGTTGGAGGGCTATACCTTCCCCAAGAACGGACGTATCCTTTGCGGGCTGGTGGAAGACGGTTAGATACGACCTTTTCCCAGCGTTCGGAGGAAGGTGATGTGATTGATATTCAGTAGTGAGAGATAAGGATGTGTCTGCTTGGTGGTAGGGATTTTTTGGGAACATATCCACTCCTTTTTTTATTTCATTTTATTCGCAGAAGTTCTATCTTGCTTTGCTTTTCCTACCCCCCCTATCCCGTTTATCTTGGTTAAGGATGACTGTTTATATTGTTGCATCTCGAAGCTCATAGATGATAGTCGAGAGCCGTGAGAATTATGTAGTTCATGTGAAAGTTGAAAAGCAGATGAATGGCCCGGGGGGGGGACCCTGTTAATCTGAGCAGCACGATACATCGATTAGTGATCTATCGGCTCTCAGTGCAAGTCTTGTCCTTATATACATCTAGTGTTAGTTCTACACTAGAATGCTCGCCTTGCTTCGCTAAACCTGCACAGCACGACTTCGAGGAATGTATTGCAAATATCTAAGACTTTTTGCATACAAAGAATGGGAAGAAAGACGGCAAGTCGGCAAAAAAGAAACTGGAGCCATACATCACAGCCATTCCTTTAATGTTGTAGGAATATAAAAGTTACAACACTAAAACAACCAGAAACAATCACAGAAAACTAGATAAAAATCATACAACCTCCACTGTCAGGGTACCAAGCTGCTCGGACTCTAAGTCGAGGGATCCCGAGCCTTCGCTGGAGCTGAGGCCGAGGGGGACAGGGTCAGTCTCAATGGGAGAACCTGGAAAAGTGGATTGCGATGGGGATTCCAGCTGAGCAGCAAGGGGAAGTGAGAGAAGAAAATTATCTTCCTCACTTGCTACCCAGGGAATGATAAAGTCAGTATGCCCAGCAAAGCGGGGCCGCTCTACAGAAGGAAATATAACAAATGTCTGTGCCAGTCTGGGGATGGTGATCAGGCTGTGCAGGTATGGGGCAAGTGTGTCATCAGTCGTGTGTAAGCAGTCCGGACTTAACTGGGCTGTACTCTGACATCCACAGACCAGAAATCAAAATAGTAATAAAATCATAACTCAGCGAAATGAATTGAAATAAATTATCGGAAAAATACTGAAGAACAGAGTCAATGGGATGAGTATCTACGCGAACTTTCAAGTCTAGGGATTAAAAGATGGTCCAGAAAATGAAGAAAAACAGCAAATAAACCCACATGAAAACAAAAACAAGGTTTCCTGTATCAAATAAAGTATTAGAAATCCGTGGTAATATGGAAAAATAGTTTTACGAACGAACGAAACGAATGACAATGAGAAATCGGAAGAAAACCAAGGAATTCACAATGAAGAACAGTCAGGTACAAGGAAAAGATGAAAGAATTGGGAATATTTATATGAGAAAAATAGAAAAAAATATTGATTTTTGTTTGTCTTAAAAAGTTAAAGTATAGGTTTGTGTACAAAAAAACTTCATGTTAAAATCTGAAGAATTGAGGGAGAAACGGATTTAACAAGATTAAAACATGCTTGCAGAGAAGACTGGCTCAAATGTCCTGAGTTTGTGGTAGAAACGGATGAGCTAGAAATGCTAAACTAAAGAGTTCAAGTCCAGGAATGAGGCATAATTTATCCGGAATTAATTGTAAGAAAATGGATGAGCTAATGCCAAAGCAATCTGGAGAACCTTGAAATTAAATCTTGAAAAATTCATATCTTCATAAATAATCCTCATAGTTTACTGTTGTTTATACCGACAGAAAGCTACACCCTTAAGCTAACAAATAACCCCATGACATGTGACTTAGAATAAAGTGAGTAAACAATAAGGTCATGATGGGTGTTAGGCAGTGCAATTGGCTGATTCCCACACCAAAACTTCCAGAAAGTTCTAGAAGCAGAATGGGATGCTGATCGCTTACATAAGAGGATTACTAAGCTCAATATAAGATTACTCAGCAATGTAAATAGTAAAGTCATATGTGAAAACAGAGCCCTTAGGAAAAGTATAAAAGACTGCATTTTCTGGTCTGACCCCTCTTCCTTCTTTACTCCTCTCCCCTACATGCTCTGGCTCATGGGTCATAAGGCATCCTAATAAAAATTAAGTTTTATTAGTATAAGTGTGCAGTTCAGATCACATCTGAGTAAAAGTGATCAACCCTCAGTAAAAAGTTAAGAAGAAGTTAAGAAATAGTGACATTGAGTCAAGTCGGTTAGAGTCGCTCCGAGTTAAAAGTGACAAGACAGAGGTGAAACAACTAAAAATAGTAGGTCTATAGTGTGATTTTCGTGTGGAACAATCAGGTAGACAAGTGAATTGAACCCTGAGAGTTACATACACACACAAACAATTAGTACCACATAAATATCAATACACAAAGCAACCAAAACGCTACAGTGGTTGAGTTAAAGTACCAATACTAACATATAAGTATCAGAAGAAAGAACAGTCTTTTATAGGATTTCTGTTCTCCTCCTTCAACATGTTAGTAATTAGTACAAACCAATATCATTAGCAACTGACAGGATTTCTTTTTGGACAGTGAGCATCCCAGCATTGACACATCCGAACGTGGTGGTTCTCCAGAACAGATATGACTGATGCCAATCAACTTGAAAGCCACTTTTTCGAGATTTGTTTCTTTCTCCTTAAACTGTTCCAGGTAGCAATCAGCGATGACTACATCCCCTGGTTCCAAGGTATCCTCATAATGTGCCATCTCTGTATGGTCTATGCTGTATTCATCCCATGGATCAAAGATACAGGAGGAAAACTGTGTAATACTTTAGCAAAAATCCTGCACCAAGAAACTTACTCACATTACTCTCGAATGCGTTCATTCGGATAGCATCCTTTTCGAAGTACAAGAGTTTCACATTTTCTATTGTACTTGTAAGCTCCCACAGAGAACAATGATGCATGCCACTCACTATTGGAGTACAATGTCAGAACCTCCTTGGCGTGTTTGTGACCAATCTGTGTCAAAGGAACCAAAAACAGTAGATAGTTCTTCTCCCATTGCCACATGCTTTTCACGATTCCTGTCAACATGAACCGCAATGCCTTACCTGCAGGCATACTCCCTACAGATTCCCTGAACCTCAGGCTCTTTGGATCTCCACCAACAATGAATCGTCCATCGGAAGGTAGGAAACATTTGATGGAAACCACAGCGGATTTGTCGATGCCATCATACATTGTAATGTCATACAAACAACTATGGAGATGTAAGTAAAATGTGATCGACAAGGGAAACTACTTACTCAACGATGTCAGGATTCCAATGATGATGTTCTGTAAAGACACAATCACCTGAAAGCCGAGTCACCTCAACATCCTCAGTCCTTCCATCTCCAGGGGTCAAAGTCAGATGAGTTAGGATGCTTTCGGACCCATGGGGTACTTTCATTTCCACCAAGTCCTCCAACAGTACTGCCACTTTGTCATCCCCCAAGTCCAACACCTCCTTCTCTTCGTTCTCCAGCTGCTTCTCCTCACCATCAGTATCGACTTGAGGTATGTGGCCTGCTGTCGTATGGGTTACAATTACACATTATTTCAGCCAATAACTTCAATAAAGCATGAACATACCTTCCACATTCACATTTACCATATTGTTCTCTTCTGTCATATCCCGGAATCCCAACCCTGCACTCTCCCACCTCTCTACACCTTCCTAACAACCTCACCATCCCCTACACCATACCCCCCCACTTCCCAATGTCACCTTCCTTCCCAACTGTCTCAGCTCCAGCTTGGATCTCAGCACACTTGACCTTGGCCACTCCCTTCCCGGAAGCTCGGCCCCAAGTCGGAACATTCAGAGACTCCAGACTTGCTCCACCTCCCGACGGATCTCCGACATCCCATGACATACCTCTAAATCATTCCCCCTCCCATTTCATTTATTGGAGCCACCCAACATCCTTCGGATACATAACTCCACCTTCGGAGCTACCCGCATCCTCCGGTGACCCCACTCACATCATCATAAATTAGTCACCTTCCATTTGTAGTATGACTGTTGTCTTCTTTCCATTCAGTCAGCTAACTTCCTCTTACCCATTTCTCGCTCCCATTTATCCTCCAGCCTTCTACTCCACCCTCCTTGACCCGACACCTCGGTTCCCTGTTAAGGATATCGTTTGGGACCTTTCAGTACCTTTTGGTATCATTCGGCACCTTTCAGTGTTTTCCACTATCATTCAGACTTTGGCTAAAGTCCTTCTCCTTCCTCCATATATAAATACTTGTAGATTAGAACCCATTGTACCTCAGTTCTAATCTGGACTATGAGTGAATCCTGACCTCTTCCTACAAGATACCTCAGACACATGAAATACATATAAGGACTACAGCCTTTTCTAAAATTTCTGTCCGATCAAAGTGAATGGGTATTGACCCCATTCGTAAAAAAATCACCCAAAAATGATCAAATTTCTCGTATTTTTATTTTTCAATACAGTAGAGTTAGCGCCACATAGCCATAGCCATTCCCAACTACAACGATCGATCTACCCTTCACACCGGCCACGATCAGACCGTGTCCTGAGCTTTGCCATGTGTTCCAGCAGGTACAAAAAGCTCTGGCAATCATCAAGTTTTCCTCACCTGCTTTGATTCTCTCTGAAACAGCAGCTATGTCATACAAGCACGACCTCAACTATTATGTTCTCAACAAAGACAAGCGTGCCCACTGGAATGATGACCATATCATGGGATTAGCCCCACGCCCTCTCCCGAAAACACCCCAGCAAGCATTTCAACAGTACTTGCTGAGGGGTCATGCTCTATTCTTGCCAGATGACTCCGACCGAGTCCTTGATGCTCTCGATTCCTTGGCGCATGACCTGCCTCCTGAAAACTGGACTATTCTGTTCCCACCAAATTGTAGAAAATTTTATTTGAGTAATCGGACAAGCGCTGACCTTGTATTCATTCCATTCAGGGGATGCACTTCCATTAGATAATCCAACACGCATTAATTGCGAAGCATTTATTGTACCAAAACAGAAAGCTGAGCAGGAGAAAACACGCCAGAGACAACTTGGAGTAGCCACTGCAAATGTCCCTTCTGTATCAGCTGCAACAATGCCGTTTCCTGCACAGTCTCCGTCTCAAGCCCCATATACTGCGTACCCGATTGCATACCCAATTGTTCCCTTTCCTAATCAACCACAAATATTCCTCACCCAGCAAACCGCACCCTCTCCTCCTGCCCCTATGACCTCTAAGCTGGCATCTGATGTGAATTTGCAGTCAAAGTCTCAGTCTGACGAAAAAGAGCCAAGTACGTGGTTCTTTTGACCAATATGAGCTTCACTCAATAACTCGAGCAGAACTACTTGAAATTTGCTATCAATGCGATACACTGAACCCAGACAAGATGACTATGGAAGCGAGCCTCTATCTCCTCATTGACAGTGCTGCCACATTTGCACTCAGCAAGGTTGAAGAAGGAATGGGAGTCGACGTTACCAAGCACGAGATTGGCTACCTTCCAACCTTTGATGGGAAGCGGCGACGAGATATGCCAGTCCAACTCAAGACTGCAGTGCACATGGAAAAAGCGCTGCATGAACTTCGCGACTGCATGTCCCGAGCCCGATCTAGTAAAAAATTATACGTTATCAATATGGTGAGTTCCAAATACCACATGCTGTGCATTGCCTAATACACCGACCCAACAGAAACCAGTACCCAAATCTGAGAATGTCGGGAAACATGGGAAAACTCGTCGCACTAATACTGTAAATAGTGCAATCCAGTCCAACCCGGCTTCAGACCAATATGTGATGCTTGAAAAGCAGTGGGAGTGTCATGGATGTGGTGGCCACTGTTGGCCACATACCCGTGCAAAGGGGAAACATCTTCACCTCGACAATGCTATGTTATCCTTGTGGGCACAACAATGGGTATGTGTAATTTAGTATCACCGACATTTGTCTTATGATTATTTGTAGTCTGACGGTGTTACTGGAGTTGATCTCCACAATCCACCTGTTCATAATTGGTTTGATGTCCTGGCTCTGGAGAAACAGACAAAGGCTGTCAACCAGAAGCGACGCCAGGAATCAAGGAAGCGGAAGCGGAATGGTAGTCCACCAAGAACACCTACGAAGCCGGGGGCCACAGCTATACCAAAACCCCTGGTAAAGAAGGCGAAAGTCGATGTGACACCAGCCAAACAGCAGCCTGTGAAGGATACAATAATCCTTTCTTCTGACCCTATAACTCCGCCATTTCTCTCCCGCATCTTAGCTGCCACACAAACATCTAAAGTTGGAACTGACATTATCAATCTTTCATCTTCTCCCACTCCCGGACCTTCTAAGAAGAAAGATCCCGCTCCCACTGTTTTTGATCTTTGTAGTGACAGTTCCGCTGATGATTTCCTCAAGCATGAAATTGAGTATGATGAACTAGAATCATAGACTCAATGTATATACATAAGTCTCTTAATGTGCTGAGAGGGACTGGCGTGCAATGTCCTCGGAAATCTCCGAAGAGCGGTCACATGGGCAAGGCGAGTTACTCTCCTTGACCATGTGACTTCTTTCTATTTCATGTCAGGCCACACGGACATATTCAACCAGCACATTTTTAACTAATCACCTATGATAGCCTGCATGGCTAAACCAGCCTTGTGTTGAATCTTCAGTGACTGAATACACAGCTTCAAGAAGCAAAGCTTTTGCATGATTCATGTCCCCCCCCCAGCTAGCACAGCATCGATGCGATTCCAATTGAGCCGGAGCCAATGCTTGATTGAAGAGAAAGCTTCTTCAATTGGGTTTAAGTCTGGAGAGTATGGAGGAAGGAAGACCAAATGAACACCCCTACAATATCAAGACTGGTAAGCGTGAGCATAGATAAATGAGAAGCACATACCGGTCAGCACACATTTGCTCCAGCTCATCAGATTTGTGGATGGACGCATTATCCATAATGAGAACAGATTGAGGGAGAGGGAATGGGTTCATGCGAGGAAGAATAGATCGAATAAAATCATTGAATGTGTCCGATGTGTATGCTCCCTCCTGAATTTTGACATGGAGAATGCCTTCAACACTGAGAGCGGGGAGTATGGAGTACCTGAGAAGGGGCCATTAGGTCTGAATCGTCAATTCGGAGTCAAATTACATACTTAGTGCCTCGTACAAAGAAGTCCCAATGACGTGCTTGGTCACCAGATGGTGCCCAGCCATGGGAGCATGAAGAGGTATTACAATTGCAACCTGTTTCATCAACAAAAACAAGTTGTTCCGATTGATAATGCCGACCCATGTACTGCCTAAATGCAGAATGCAATTCTTCATTGCGTTCATAAGCTGGCTTTTGTAACTGTCATAAAGAACAACCTCTTCGGAATGTTAAATAAAAATAAAAATGTAGAATACCCACTTTTTTGTACGTGAAACCTCGCTGCTTCAGGCTGAGCCAGATAGTAGACTGGGTGTCACGGCCCCGCAAAGTCCCCGCCCCTCTACCACTTTCTGCACCCCCACCCTCGCGCCGTTACTTGCGCCCGTTAATCTCGCCATTGCCCATCACTTAGCGGCGCCGATAGTGGTTCCCATTCTACGGCCCCGTAGCAGCGCCTCCTCGTTCTCCTGCCACCACTTGGGTTCCTCAGCCATTCGGCCGATACCATTTTACTCTATTCATTCGCTTAACTAACTAGCGGTTGTTATGGTCGCCGTGATCTGCTCCTTATTGACATTCCTTTATTGACAATTGATTATTCCTTTATTGATATTTGATTTATGCGTACATTGACATTCTGATCCGCGCGCCTATATTGTCGGCCTATCCATTCTGCCTCCCAACTTCGCCGTCCTCTGTTCCATTCTTTTCTTCTGTTCCATTACCCTGGTCCGCATTGCCCTTTTAGTTCTGTCGTACTTATCATCCCGCTCCCGTCCTGCGCCGGACCGACCGGTCCCTTCTCTGTTCTCCTTTCTTATTTATACTTGTAGTTTACTGTCGATGTACCTCAGTTCGAATATCGACTAGAATTCCCCCCCAAGTACTTGCATCCTAAGTTCGCCTCTCAACTTCATCCTCGCTTGAGTCAACGTCGCCGCAAGGTCTTCCCCGCTAACATGAAATACGGGACAGCCTAGAACGCGTGGCGCAACGCTCTGGCCAAGTCGTTGAAGCCGAAGTCCCAACCCCACGACGCCTTGCAACGGAGTAGTTCATTAGCTAAGTGACCACTCACGCCACCGCACTCCGCTCCGCTTCCCGCGATCACCTCGAACACAGTTTCTGACACTGGGAGACAGAAACGTCATTGTATCTCTTCAATATTTGTTGTATTTCGTGGAGATAGAGATCCGGCTTAAGCTCTATATGGCCTTGAATAAGCTACTTGATAGATTCAGTGCTGGAACCAACCAGCCACGGTGATTCATTATACTCACTGTCAGGGTTCAGCACCCTGCCTTAGGGTGCCCCGGACTCCCCACCTACTTTACCCCCTTTTATTCTTTGACTGTTGCCTTGTTGTTGCCTTTGTGTGTTGTGTACATGCGCGCACGGGATAGCGTGGGAACTTTCTGAGCAAGCAGCTCACCCAGAATGTTCCCACGGGTCACAGCCACAGTTCTGGGCAAGCAACTTGCCCAGAACGTTCCCACGCTTACTGGGCACTGCCACCTGGATGTTCCCTCCGGGTCACACTACACAACTCTAGGAGCTGTATAGTTGTGGGCATGTGACCCATTCCTTTATATAGCAACCATGCGGGGAGATGAGACCTTTACCCTTCTTCTCATCTCATGCCCCGCATAGGCAAGTGTATATTATCTTTCCTTTTACTATACATCTCATGCCCCGCATAGTGTGAGGACAGGTTAGATGGGGGCTGAGGTCAGGGAGCCTCCGAGTCCGAGGCCGGGCCCTGACACTCACATCCAAATCCCAGTTGTTAAGTTTGCGACTACGCCCACGGTTGCCAAGTTTCTCAAAGGGGATCCCTCGCTGGTGAGCCGAGAGAATGCGGCGAACCGTGCGGTCACTGAGATGGGCGATTTGCGCAATCTCCTTGGTAGTGAGGGTTTCGGACATGAGGACAATGAGTCGCTTCATGTCTGGAGAGGTGTGTTTGGTACCCATGAGATGGTGATGGTGTGTGGAAGCCCGGCTGACATGTTTGTTTGGCAGATGTGAGGGCTAGGATCGAGAGCTGGATCACTGTGACCATCGGTGCTGTGGTCATCATTCAACGGGGAACGGGGAATAGCTGTGCAGGCACTAACTCTACTATATTGGAATATAATTCTACTGTATTGAAAATAAAAATATGAGAAATTTGTTCATTTTCGGGCGATTTTTTTTACAAATGGGGTCAATACCCATTCACTTTTGATCGGACAGAAATTTTAGAAAAGGCTGTAACTGAGATGTAACGGAGGCACAGTGCTCCCTCTGAGTCGCTGAGGCCATGTCCTTCTTAGAGCCTCTTGTACCACCCAGCAGACCTGGGCTTCCTGGAGAAGCTTCGGTTCACTACCGGAGCTCTCAGACCCCCTCTAGTTGAGCCCCACCTGCATTCGGACTCATGCACATTAGCCTCGCTCAGGGTTTTTGACATCTTCCCTTTGATCTGTAGTTGCAGTGGTGACTTCATGATCTAAGGGGGAAGCATGTCATGCCTGTGGTTGAAGGACAAAGGGTCTCAGAAACCCATTACTTACCTGGCATGTTATCCTCACCACTTTGAGCGATTGACTGGTCTTCCTCATCAACCCTATGTTTTTTGATGGCAGATGTGCTTGAACTTGTAGCTGTGTGTTTAACCTTTGTCATCATGGTCAGCACATGTGGACTCACGAGATGGAGAAAGACCTTAAGATCAAGTTGCACGACATCTTATATCTCTCTTCGGAAGTATTTTTGGGAACAGTACTCTGCATCTGCCCAGTAGTTCTTGTATCGAATATATCTGTTGTCGTTCATTTCTGGAAGACAATGAGTAGGCCATCGGTGAAAGAACATGAATGCCATTCATTGCTTTGTTCAGAACATGCCCATGTGCTCACCATGTCTAACAACCCTGCATTATGGTATTGAATAAAACTTTGATGCCAATTATGGCATTTGTCATATCCATGCATACCTGATCCCGAACCGACTCCCGGACCTCCACCTTCACCACCTCCAGAGTCCTGCCTTACTGCTGTCCATTCCGATATTCACCTTCGGTCCTGACACCACACCTCTCACCCCTCACGCCACCTCCACTCCTCCATCCTTCTCCTGTCCTATCTCCATCCGTTCCGATACCCACCTCAGACCGAACACCACTCCTCTCACCACCCTCCTCCTACTCCTCCCACTCCTCCACTTCCTCCTCACAACACCTCCACCCTTCCATCATCCTCCTACTCTTCTCCCATCCGCTCCAATACTCACCTTCGGACCTGACACCTTTCCTCTCCTCCACACCTTTCCTCCTTCCCCTTTCCTCTCTCATCCCTCTGGCCCTCTCCCACTGACCTCCCGCCAAGTTACAACCTTCCGCTGCTGTCCCATACCTCGTACTTGGACATCGTTCATACCTTCGCTCTGAGACTCCATCATAGCTCCTACCTCGGACTTTGACTCCACCTCGGCTTTAGTCCATCGCATTGGTGACCTCATACTATGTAAACACCATTGCCAATATTCCTCGGACTTTCAACCCCGCCTCCATAACCTCCGTAAGCTCCGCAACCTCCGAGCTCCACAGATCATCTTTGGCACTTTCGCCGCTTGTAATGTATCTCTCTCGCGTTTTCCCCTCATCCCTATTTGGACTGCTGCTTCTTCCCATTCTAGCCAGTTAGTCATCATCCCCACTTCCCCTCATCCTCCTACCCCTCTGGGCTTCGCCCTCCTTACCTCCTTTCAGACGTACCACAGGTTCTGCCCTATGACCTTCAGTACCACTCTGCTTCTGTCATCCCTTTGTTCCCGTTCAGATGCCTTCATTCCGATTCAGACCCCCTTTGTTTCCCTGTGCTTTTGCCTCCTCCATTATATATATCGGCACTTGTACATACTCGTTTTAGTCCTTAGTCTAAAATCAACCTGAAATGCCCCCTAGAGACTTCCTGCTTGCCTCCTATGAAATTAAGGACCAAATGGACAAACAGCAATGGCACAGCACTCCGCTTGAGTCGCTGAGGCCAAGGTCCCTTCTTGCTAAGTCTCTGGTTCCCCTCTGGAATCATCCACCCTCGCCCAGTTCTAACAGCATTATCACATATGCATAGGCATACAATGCATTCCATATAAGTCTTGATGAACGAATAATGAACGGCAGCGACATGCAACCTGTGACAAGTAGAGAGCAGATAAAAGCAGGAGTAATGGGATGGAAGAGGTGGAGATTCCTTTGTAGCAACGATGTCTTGGCAATCGTTGACCGCTGCACACATCCATGAAGTTGTCCAAGCTCAAGGTGTCTCACTGTCACGTAAAGCCCAAAGGTCATGTCTGCAACTGCTCATGGAGGTAAAAGGGTGTGGACCCGATGTGATTCAGGCATTGGAGATGGCAATAGCTGGGAATTGCAGCGACACACATGATGAATATCTTGACATCGCGACTGAACCTCAACATTGACAAGCCATCCAGCGGTTCATCAAAGCCACCAACAACGAATCTATGCACATGAGAGTATGTGCAGTATGTGCATGTGAAATTAATGCATACCTGTGCACCCAAGTCCCTGTCACTGAAATCCCTAATCATCATCTCCTGCAACCCGACCCTGTACACCCTGCCATGAGGCTTACAGATGGCCTTCTCTTAGCGACACGACCTGTTGAATTAGGTGAAGAAAATGGAGGAATTGTGTGGATATGTAATGCTTGCGAGCGCGACCTGAAGAAGAAGAAGAAGCCACAGTATGCACTGACCAATGGCTTATGGCTTGGGGACACACCCTCAGTTCTTGCAACATTAACTATCCCTGAGAGAATGCTCGTAGCGCTTGTGTACCCTTGCTGCTTTGTCTTCAAGATGCATCTGCTTACACGTGGATCCCACGATCCAGCTACACTCCAGTGGGGTATGAGTGAGGAAATGTAACAAGTTACGATATGGATTTGAAGGAAATTGTCGATATGCTTGAAGGAAGAAAGATGCTGCTGTTGTGGGGACAACTCCGTGTACCGCAAAAAGTCGGATTCTGCAGAATTTGGTCACCAACATGCACTACATATCCGTTGACGCTCCCGATACTCATTCTATCACTATCCAACACTCCATACACTCACTCCATATTTTTCCATATTTTCCCCATCATTCCCGACAGCCTGAAGCCAAATTCCCATGCCCAACCACACTGCCAATTTCACCCCCTCTCCAGATCTCCATAACCACACATACAACCCAGCCATTTTTCTACCCATTGGTGATGCTATACCTTCCTCCTTTACCCCCAGAGCACTTCCCAGAATGGCAACCCCATATTCGGATGGCTCAGCATGGTGTATAGCCTCACGTGGTCTTGACAGCACCTGTCAATAGGGATGTTCACAGCTGGAAAACTCTGCCAAAACTATGCCAAAACTCGAACTCACAAGTGGCTCAAAAGTCGGGTGTGTTTTGAAAAGTGTGCCACAAGAGGGTGTTTTCGTGTTGCGGCTCCGAGGCCGCAAGACTGTGAAAACCACAACTGCCTGTTTTCACAACTCGGTTTTAAAGAGTCTTAATCCCGTCCTGTATTCATCTGTTTGTTTCTGATGTAACTGTACAGTTCCTGCCACCTGAATCACACCGCACAACATCCCCACCTGCCACACTCGTTACTATGGCACTCCACACTCATTTCCTCTGACCAACTATGGGACCAAAGTGGCCTGCTGCTCTGGACCCAGAACTTGTGCCAGTTTCGAAGCGTTCCAGCCGTTTATCAAAGCTGAACACTGGCAACCAGGCTGAACCCCCCACTAAGCCTCCTGCAACCCGTCGTGTTCAGTGGCTTGAGAACCCCCACTGGACTGACCGTCTCGTATCATACCTGCTTGAGAATCCAAATGTGAGGTTGAAACTGAGTGGTGATTCTATCCAAACTGTGAAGGCCGAGGGCCGACTGAAGGTGATTCACTCTGCTTGCTCATACCTTCCAAACATCTTATTCTACCCCAGATTTCTAATGGTGAGAAGAAGAAAGACTATTGGGCAGCTATTGCAAAGGACATCTGGGACCACGAGGAAGAGGCAGAGCATGAATTCTATGTTGCAGCTCTGAACCAATACACTACAGCTATACAGGGTAGAATAAGTTGGTGAGTGACGGTCAATTGGCATGCTGCTGATATGCTGATGATCCACTGGGTAGGCTGGAAAGTCAGTACAAGAAATATATCAAACTCCTTGGTAAAACTGGTCAGGGTGTGAAGTCTGAAGAGGAGTGTGAAGAAATCCATGCCAATTTGCGAGGTAATGTATTCATCTATCACTGATGCCATGCTGGTCTTTGATTGGTATTAGAGGATATCTGAGCAAAATTCCCTTGGTTTGATGATCTTGATGGCATGTGGCGTAATTTACCGAAGCACTCAATTGGAATGATATCAAACTCTGCTGTTGGTATGGCTGCATTGGTCGCTGAGTTTGAGCAAGTGGCTCCGAGACTGACACATGCAGTCGGTGCACAAGAATCTCCTGAGGTATTGGGTATGGCCACTGCAGGCACCAACACAAGGTCAATCATCAAGGTTAGCAAGACTAGTATTCCTTGTTCTATGCCAGCACTACTAATTTGGCTACTAGGATCTGCCCCCCACTGCTGCTCTTGGTCTGGATTCCCCTATTTTTCTCACTAATGAACTGTCATCAGAACCCGAACTGGAACTTGTCCTGCCAGAATTCAAACTTGAGGTCAAACCAAATGTCCTAAGCACAGCTCAGCTAGGGAGCCATGGTTTGCCAACTCCGATGACACCTACATCCAATCCTCCAACTCCGACCCCTACACTAGTTGGTTTGACTCACAATGCTGGAGGAATTAGCCATAATGGAAAGGGACGACGTGATGTTCTTGCTGATTTCAGTGAAGCAAATCTCCATGACCAAGAGCAGACCTGCCAAGAGGCGGACCAGTTTCACTTACAATGCATGGCCTGCATTGATGCCCTCCAACGACGTGAAGATCAGAAACATGAGTGGAAGATGCTGAAGTACAGCATCCAAGCACAACAGATGGGGTTGGCTCCACTTGTGCCCCCCTATCTTGCTCAGCTGCCACCCTCTGGCACGCTACAGGCCAACTTCACCAATGGGCTCGGGATCCTCCCCAACCACACACCCATTCTAGTTCATGGATTAGTAAACATAGTTTCTACATATAAAGTTCATGGAACAGCACCTCCTGAATATGATGGCGCTTACACTGAGCTTCCAATTCACCAGGGGGTGGAGGTTCAGCTGACATCCAAGTAAAACTTTCCACTTCCCCTTCATCCTGCTGTTCATCATGGCCATGTAAACCCTCGGCAACCCAGTGTGCAAATTCTTCCTCCGACTCAAAATCCTCAACCCAGGACACAAGTGAATGGATGATAAGGCAAGTGTGTACCCATGCCAATGCCAACCGGTAGTCACGTTCACTGTTGATTTGTTGCCGAAGGCCTCGGAGTGATTGGAATTGGCCTTTTAAGAAGCCAATTGCATGTTCAGAGCAAATGCGGACCTAAAGTTCCCACATCATAAATAACAAAAATTCTGTAGCCACTTGTCAACTTACTGATGACAAATGGTAGTTAAATTGACGATTAGCAGGTATGAGGGACTGAGGTTTCTTATATGGGACTATACACCAAGGGGTCAGGCCAAAGGCAGAGTCGGCCCAGAGCCACTCTCCACTACGGAACAGCTGATTTGATTCTTTCCATGCACACGACTCCTTAAAGGCAGTTGAGTCATGGACACTTCCAGGAGGGCCAAGGACATAGTCAATTATGCGGAGGTTGGGCAGCATGATTAACTAGTCTAGAAGTCAGTCTTGACCAGTACCTACAAATGCAGAACATACCACAAGGCTGAGGGAATAATTTGACTTGCTGTTATAGAAATGGGAATTTCCCATTCTAGCCTCTTCTGGGCCTTGCACACAGCCACTGTCAGGTGATTTGTATGGCACGTGCCATTAATTAAGTTTAACCAATCAACAATTACCAAAAAAACCCGCTGAGCTAACATCTTAAACCTCATGTTACAACAACTGTGAAACCACCTGTAAAACCTAATGAACCACCTCACCTCCACTTTCCACTTTCCTGCGCCAAGAACGGACGAAAATGGGCGCCTCCGGCCCCATTTTTGTAACACTTGCAGTCAAAAAACCGTTCCCCATAATGGCCAGGCTTAGCATGAAGGGGGATAAGTGTACCATCTACCATACAGTATCCAGGCTGCCATGCTCAACAAGAGACTCGCTCAACCCATTGTGAGGCTTCTTGCTTCTCTTCCATGGTTGGCCAATGGATAGCCTGACCATGAAGTGGCAAGACCGCCGCTATGACATGCCACATGGCTTTGACAACAGTCCCCACACTACAACCTGCCCACTGGGAAACTGCCTCAACAGACCCACCATTACCAAACCTACCAAAGCGGTATAATGCAATTGCCAGCTGGTAGGAGACAGGCACTTGTTCTGCTGTAGAATTGTTCAGGAAGGTAGGATGGTCTTCAATTAAGCGAAGCATTAAATCGAACGTGTGGGGTGAGACGTGCAGGTTGTGCCGAAATCTTCGTGGATCATCAGCTTTGTAACAGTCCAGCACAAGCGCTAGCTGGCTACACTTGATAACTTCATGTGGAAATAAAACACGTGTAGTGGCCAACCTAGATAGAAAGTACCAAATGCGGCACATTGACCGTGTGTGATTTCTTTGCATGATGGCCCGGACCTCAGCTTGGTTGGACTCAGAGTCAGAGTCGGCTAAGGAGTGATGTGAAGAAGTAGCCTGAGTGCCGGAAGCTTGGCTGGAACTGGAAGCGCTGGAGGAACTGGAAGTGGAATCAGATGATGAGCTGCTGCTATCAGATGAGGTGTCAGAGCTGTTGTCAGACTCAGAGTTGCTAAGAGATAAGAGGTCAAGCTGGCTAGATGTCTCCGTCTGTAACAAAAGGCGATGCTGGTGGTGGCGGTATCTGGTCTGGAGGTGAGAAGTATGGTTCAGTGCAGCCTGGATCAAGTGCTCGTGTTCGCGGACTGCTGGCATCGGACTGCATAGTTGTTACATAATACATTCATGTGCTCCAAGGCCAACGGACTTACAGGTTGATTCTCTGGGTTTGTTATGACAGTGTTTTGAACCTGTTGCTGTGAACGCCCTTTTGCTACACTCAAAACTTACTCAAAAGTCTCTGAAAACTGTCGCACAAGAGGGGTGAGTTTTGGCATTCTTGTGACTCAGTTTTGCCCAAGTTGTGAGTGCCATGAACATCCCTAATGGCCACATCTCAAGAAGTACTGCACCAATTGGGACGAATAAGGGCTCATTGGGAAGCTGGAGACGAGGAGGTTGCTGACGGGAGGATAGGCGGGCGCTGTGGCGAACTGTTGCGGAGTTAATTTTTACAATTTCCATTTCGGACCCGTTATCATATATTCCCCATTCATTCATATTTCTTTTATTGTTTCTTTGTTCCCAATTGGATATTCATCATTTACGGTTGCCTAACGGCCCGTTTACATTCCCCCAGTCCATTCATTCCATTTCAAACATATATAAACTAGATAACAGCTTGTACATAACAAGTTAGTACTGAATAGACCCGTGAAGGGACAAGCAGAAGTTACATCCAAGTGGCAAAGATGCCATCCATGACCCTAACGCCCCCTCTGAGCTAGTTGCTTACATCTAAGACCCCTCTCATCATACTACTCAGCCTTGACGTCCAAGAGAGACGTAGGTGAGTGTTTGTTTGAGGTTTTTGCAGACTCGGTAGTGCCCCAGGACCAAAACTCGGCCCAACGAACCACACCTGCACACACTACCACCCTCCCCCTTCTCTCTGTCTCGAGTCTAGGCGATAGACCCATTACACTGCAGCCCACACGAGTTCTTGCATCGGTGATTGCTGTCACATATGTCAGCAGAGGGCAGCTACCCACTCACTGGCTGAAAAATACTTTTCATGTGCGACGTCAGAAGGTTCTTGCAGCGTTGCAATGGTTGATTGCATGGAACCCATATTATCGTGATTTTGAAATCAACGAGACCACCCTTGTGAGTCTGCCAGAAGATGATGTACCAATCAAAATTCGTGCTGGAATGCATCAGGAACCAGATGATGTTGTGTTAGATGAAGAGAACGATGCCTACTTTACTCAAGAGGATGTCAGTGAAGGTATCAAACCACCCATATTTACTCATGTTGGCCTGCAGATGCAGAGTCAGGAGGTGGTTTTGAAGAAGAGGGAAACAAAGGTGTGCTTTCTTTTGCGCCTCATAACTCCACTTGATCTCAAGCGATTTCACAAAAGGAACGAGTGTCATCCCTTTGAACCATCTTGGTATGGCATCACAAGAAGTTGGTCTGCTTTCATCTGGGGACCTCCTTCTCCATGCACTTGCAAACTTGACAGCCAAAGGCGGTTATGCTGTGTGTCCTCCACACCGATATGGGCATGATCTAGGACAAGACCAATTTTGTTATTTCGCCACATCATTTCTGCATTTGTTCCCCTATGGTACTGGAGCGCCAAAGGGTGAACAGACTCACCTGTTAACATTCATCGACCATATTTGGTGGTGTCTGCAGTACCATGACCACCATTTTCGGAGGGACCATTCTTTGCATTTGTGGCATTCGGCATTTATCAAAAACAACAATGCTTGCAGTCAGCTCGTATACAAATGTCTCGTAAAAGCTTCGAAGCAGAAATGGAAACACTTAGTAACATTAAGCTGTCAGAATTGCACATGGCAGCTGAACAGGAGTCACAGAAACAGCCCATCTCCAACCCGGGAATTCAGCACCTTTTGCAACACCTAAAGATGACAGGAGCTCACGTTATTGGCACTAATCAATCACATGCATCAATAAGAAGCAAGATTTGGAGTCAAACAATTAAACATGGTCCACTGAGCCTGTGGGTGACAATCAACCCAAGCAACCTTCATGATCCGATCGCTCAGGTATTTTGTGGAGAAGAGATCGACCTGGATGAATTTGACCAAACAGTAGGACCGAATGCGAGAGAACAAATGGAGAACTTAGCAGCAGATCCATATGCAGCTGCTCGATTCTTTCATTTCATCATTGCCACCATGCTGGACGCATTGATTGGTGTTCAAAAAGGAGTTCATACACTTTGCGTCATGCACTATGCAAGCATCCTGGCATTATGGACACCTTGGCACTGCAAAGAAGATTTGAAAGGAGGGGATGAAGAATGGAGTGAAGCATACAATCGTTTGGAGGAGGTAGATTCGAATGTCACATATGCAGTGTCCAACCTTCAGCATAGATATGAGTGTAAGGATGCAGCGGATAAGGACAATCCTACCGAGGTTGATTTGAATGGAAGAGGTTTTCCTGCAACCTCTGGCGAGACCGAGTTGGATGCATCCAGCGATGGAGAGGATGGGCAGCAGCAAGAGCATACAGTGGGAGGAGGCTCAGAAGCTGACCTGGAGCAATTCATAGTGCAGAGCCAACAGACAGAAGAGGAGCTGCATGGGCGGCATGCAATTGAAATAGCGAAGTGTGCATGAATCTTGCCAGACAGTGCAAATGGGTGGAACATAATGCAAAGAGGTGTGCAGGCAGCCACAGGAGAGGACATGTACAAGTTCGTGAGGTGGTCACAAAAGCTAGTGGAGGAGAGAAAAAATTCGTCAATGTCAGAGGATGCAGTGACAGTAACCACAATGGAAGAAATGATGGTGATCAGTGAATGTGCGAGGGAAGAAGCAATGGCACATACCATTGAGTATTTAGGAGGGTCAGATGGATTCTCAGATACTATCAATGTGTCCAGTTTCCACCTGGATCAGCTGCAGGCATAGTATCATCACACACCATTTGGCAGTGAGGCAACGTGGGGAAGAACCAGAACCATTGCAAATGATCCTAACGGGAGAAGGGGGCAGGGGGAAGTCAAGAGTGATACACTCAGTGATGGACTTTTTTAGAATGCACAACGCAGCAGACAAGATTGCACTGGGGGCTTACATGGGGATAGCAGCCAGTCTAAATCGGTGGCAAAACACTACATGTCCTTTTCGGATTGGGAGCATGTGGAGCAAGGCTACCGAGCGGGAGAAAGATTGAAGAGCTGGCTCATTTCTGGTGGAAGGAGTACTTGATCATTGATGAGTACTTGATGGTCTCAAGAAAGCTGTTTGCATGAATGTCAATGATCCTAGGGCTGATTCAACAGCACAATTACCCGGAGGAGGAGTCAATGAAGGCATGGGGAGGGATGAGCGTCATCATCTGTGGGGATTTCCATCAATTTAAACCAGTAGGACAGGGAGGAGGTGCACCACTTTATTGGCCAATCAGCAGGGAAAGCAATACAGCTGAGGAAGTAATGGGCAGCAAACTGTACACATGATTCGAGACAATCGTCTGCCTGATGCAACAGATGCAGGTTCAGGACAAGGAGTGGACAGAATTTCTATGCTATTGTCGGCATGGAATGTGTGAAGCACACCATCTGGCCATGCTGCGGAGTCTGTTGGTGAGTTCAAGTAATATGGAGGGAATAAATTCGGGAGAGGAACCATGGGCAGGAGCGTTATTAGTGACGTCACATCATGCAGTGCGCACACAATGGAACGAACTGGCATTGCATGGGCACTGTGAGGCGGGGGGGAACACACTATACCGCTTTCGAGCCAAGGATACTATAGGAGGGAAGGAATTGACATTGAGGGAACGATGGGCTTTAGCGCAATACGTGTTGAAGGATAAACAACATTCGGCACATTTGGAATGTCAAGGAGGACTGCAACCAGTGGTGGAACTCGCAGTTGGTAGCAAGGTGATAATCACGACAAACATTGATACAGATATGGACATCGCCAACGGAGCAAGGGGGTGTTAGAACGTGCGGATTCGGACGACTCCGGAGTGGAATCAGAGACTTAGCGTGGAAGGACCTTGGCCTCAGCGACTCAGGTGGAGCGCTGTGCCATTGCTGGTTGTCCTAGGGGTCCCTAATTTCGGATCTAGCAGAGGGAAAGTCTCTTGGGGGGAATTCATGTCAATTTCGGACTGAGGTTACAAGTTACTATGTACATTGTATATAAGGAGGGGTCCGGGATCAAAAGGAGTGAGGGTAGGACGAAAGGAGACAAAGGGAGATGGAAAGAGGAACAGCACCGAGGGTCAAGGGTTTGACTCAATGGAGGAATGAAGGGCCAAGGCCCAAGGAGGAAGGAAGGAGGTTGGGAGTGGGGAATGGCTAGCTGACTGAATAGAAAGGAAGCAGCAGCCCAAATAGGAATGAGGGAGAATAGCGGAATTGAATGGAGCAATGCAATAGTTGCAAGGTCCGACATAAGTCCGGAAAGTCCGAACTCGGAAGTTAAACTCCGGAATATTGGCAAACATAATTAAATGGAATGAGCTAACCAATACAATGGGTATAAGTGGAGGTGGGGTCAAAGTCCGAGGTCAGAGCTAAGACCGGAGGTTCCGGAGATGGAGACACGAACGGGATTCCGGAGCGGAGGTCCAGAGTTGGGAGCATAGGTTTTGCGTACTCGTCTGGAAGGTGTCGAGGTTGGGGTCGGACCCGGAATGTTCTGGAGTCGGACTGAAGGTGGTGTCCGAGCTGGAGGTGGGATAACCTCTTGGGAGTCGGCAAGGAGAAAGTGATGGAAGGGAAGTAGGGCTCTGGAAGTCGGAGTTCGGAGTTCCAAGAGCCCGGAGTGGAGGTCGGGATTGTATGGATATGACAGGGGGGAAATCATCAGAATATGGGCAGATCCATGTGAAGCAAAGGAGGGTAGACAGGAGGCAGTGCAAGAAATGAAATACCCACTGAGCTGCATCTTGGTGAAGATGGAACGATTCCATGGACCAGAAATTGAAGGGCTGGACCTAAGATGATCCCCCTGTTCCCGGTTACATGAACAATAGATTTCTTCACAGGAAGAGGAGAACAAAAGAAAGTCCAACGACACCAAGTGACATTGGATGTACCATATGCTTTCACTGACTACCGTGCACAAGGGCAAATGATTGAGTATTTGTGGGCAGATATTGGCACACCACCAAGGGGAGCTTTGACACCATTTAACATGTATGTTTGTTAGATACGGTGGATTTGGACGACTCTGGAGTGGAATTGGAGACTTAGTGTGGAAGGACCTCAGCCTCAGCAACTCAGGTGGAGCACTGTGCCATTGCTGGTTGTCCTGGGGGTCCCTAATTTCGGATCTAGCAGAGGGAAAGTCTCTAGGGGGCATTTCAGGTCAATTTTGGACTGAGGTTACAAGTTACTATGTACATTGTATATAAGGAGGGGTCTGGAATCAAAAGGAGCAAGGGTACTCTGAAAGGAGACAAAGGGAGCTGGAAAGAGGAACAACACCAAGGGTCAAGGGTTTGACTCAATGGTGTTTCCCAAAGGAGGAGTGAAGGGCCAAGGCCCAAGGAGGAAGGAAGGAGGTTGGGAGTGGGGAATGGCCAGCTGACTGAATAGAAAGGAAGCAGCAGCCCAAATAGGAATGAGGGAGAATAGTGGAATTGAATAGGACAATGCAATAGTTGCAAGGTCCGATGTAAGTCTGGAAAGTCCAAACTTGGAAGTTAAACTCCGGAATATTGGCAAAGGCAATTAAATGGAATGAGCTAACCAATACAATGGGTATATGTGGAGGTGGGGTCAAAGTCCAAGGTTGGAGCTAAGACCGGAGGTTCCGGAGACAGAGACACAATGGGATTCTGGAGCAGAGGTCCAGAGTTGGGAGCATAGGTGTTGTGTACTCATCTGGAAGGTGTTGAGGTTGGGGTCGGACCCGGAATGTTCCGGAGTCGGACCGAAGGGTGTGTCAGAGCCAGAGGTGGGATAACCTCTTGGGAGTCGGCAAGGAGAAGGTGACAGAAGGGTAGTAGGACTCTGGGAGTCAGGTTCAGAGTTCCAGGAGCCCGGAGTGGAGGTCGGGATTGTACAGATATGACAATGTCACCCTATCTTGTGCAAGAGGACAAGTAAACATATGGTTGATATGGGATTTCAAGGACACATTATTTACAAAAATGCCATGTGAAGTGTTGGAGGAAGAGGACAAGCAGCTGAATGAAGTAAACAGGAGGACTAAAGTTGAGTGGGAGCAAAAGATGGTGCAAGGGGGGAGATGGGAATTAGGGGGGAGATAAAGCAAGAGAGCCACAGAAACAGATTAGAATGAATAGAAAAAACGTAATAATGATGAGCACACAAAGAAGATGTAAGGGGATATTACAAAAGAAAAGAAAGGGAGGCATGTGAAGGATTCACACACTTTCAGCATCGAAAAGTTATGTAATTGTGCCACAGTGATGTGACTCTGCTGTGCAGGTAACCACTGAAGTGAAACACAAGAGTAGTCAAAGTGTGAAAACAAAGGCCCAAAGCAACATTGTGTTCACCAACAATGGCCCCAAAAGTGCCTCCTTCCCAAAGCTCTCTGTTGATATGCCCCACTGAAATGCCGGATACCATCTATTAGTTAGGTAGTATTGTAAATACAATGATAATGGACTTGCCTGAGATGTTGGATACCATCTATTAGTTGGGTATCCACATCTGCAGGCTTTGCCCTTAAATACATGTGTGAGTGGCAACAGTGATACACAAAAGACAAAGGAAATGAGATGTGGCAAACTACAAGGGTAACTGGATGCTTTGTGGTCCAGTGCCAAGTTGCAGGTGCACCCTGACACCTCTCCCAAAGCTCAACTTGTCTGGTCCAAGCTTGCCAGCATCAGCAAAAGTCCGTTATGCTCCAGAGGGTCGGAGGTGGCTGGAGCATGTGGGAGACAAAACAGCAGATTGGGCACTCCTGGAGCCAATAGTGTTCTCCTGGGAGGGGGTTCAGAAGCAGCTGGGAGTGGTGAGGAGTATGCAATGTGGCAGGAGCAGTGGGAGGAAATTTTGAAAAATAGGGGTTTCTAAAAAGTTGAAAAAAATAATTATTATGGAAAAAAATCAATAAAAATTAGGAACTATAGTGCCTTTGAAGTGCTTTCAGGAGATATAATTACTTTCAAAATTGAGGAAGAAATGATGAGAACTGAATTTGTCATATCCATCCACAGCCATCACCTCCGCTCCTTTGTCACTAGCCTTGGAGCCTCCAGATTCTGCAACTACCTCCGACTCCCCCAATGGTCACCACCCCCTCAATTCAATATATTACCTACACCTCCCTAAGTACAGATCCCTGAAGGCCTCTGGACAGCTCCGATGTCTGCTAGCGCACTCCCACCTCCACTGGGCAACTTAGTTGCTTTCCCTGCAAGCTGTCAGAGATCTGGAATGCTGTCAGAGACTGGAATATTTGTCGGAGTCGGACAAACTGTCAGAAGGCGGATTGGGTTCTGTCTGAGTTGAGGTCGGAGGTGATGCAGAGGTCTATTAGAGCGTGCACGTGGATATGCGGATATGTGGGCAGAAATATGTGGCGCGTCCGGAAGTGCTGTTCAAGGTTAGCAGAGTGGGATCGTGGCCTCAGCGACTCAGGTGGAGTGCTGTGCCCTGAGCTTGACGTTTGGGGGAGATCCTGTATTTACAAACTGACACTTACAGCAGACTTCAAACAAGACTTGCGGGCAGAGTGGACCTGTAGGAGGAGCGCAAACTCCGTGAGCACGGACTCAGAGGGGGGAAGCCCCCTTTGCAGAAGGAGAGACTCAGACCAGACAGGGGGGGTACTCTAGTTGATTTCAGACTGAGGTCCCCGAAAGTATTTACAAGGTATAAGTAGATAAGAGAAATCAAAAGAGGGACCAGTCAGTCCGGTGCGGAAATAAGCGGAAATGAGCGGGGACTTGTCAAACTAAACCAAGGACAAGAACCTGGGAAATGGAGGCAACGAATGAATAAAGTCAAAGCAGTTCAAGTACCAATATTGACAGATTAAATGAATGAATAGGAAAGTGCAATAGCACATGGATCAAATGCCAATATTGGGGTGAACATAATAGGCACTCGGCAAGGAATGAATGTTATGTTGCCGAGTGACAAAAATGGCCAGAGGACAAAAGCAGAGGCCAGTGTGCAGCGCCGATACAAGTCCGCAAATAAGCGGGGTTGGTGCGGTGCCGACACAAGTCCGCAAACAGAGGTTGATCTGCCAGCACTGTCACACAAGGACAGCATGAAGGCCAACAGAGGTACAGAGGGGAGTGGGAGTGTTGACCTGACCAGAGGTGTCAAGGGCAACCAGAAGTGGCCAGAGGGTGCAGAGATGGGCAGAGGGTGTGGAGTGGGCAGAGGGTGCAGAGTGGGCAGAGGGTGCGGAATGCATGGAAGCGGGGCATGGCTGTGACCACATAGCAGGAAGCGATGAGTGTGGTTCAGATGGAGACAAGGCAGGCATGACTGAATGCCAGGAGTGCCAAGGGCTCAGGAACTGGAGGTAAGGTCGGAATACTGGCAGGGTCTAGGTTCTGATTATTGGCCAAGTCTCATGCAGTAAGGCAGGGGGCCAGACATGGGGTTGGGGGCTGGTTAGGATGGGTTTCGGGTCGGCGGATTTGCCTATCGGCATTGGTTCACCGCTGACGGAGCCCCAGGATTTGTTGGTCATGACACAAGCCTACCTTTGGGCTGATCTCTCCTTTCTGTTTCTGGGTTATAGCCCACCACTCCACTAACCCCATAACCTGACTCGTTGGTAATATTCAGTTGGCTAACATGTAGCTCCGTTAGCTCTGCTCCACTCAGCCCCGTCATTCACAGGCCCACCCTCTATGTACCTATATATACATAACTTGTAGATAAGTTACACCCTAGTGATAAAATTGACTAGAGTTTCCCTCTTTTAGTTCTCGTTGCCAGTCAGTAAGTTAGGGCACGGACATGTACATAACTAGGCACAGCGCTCCTGGTCT